ATGTTTTCATAGTCGCACGCAGTAGTTTTCAGTCGCAAATGCGACTGAAAGGGTCGCACTGTAGAGCCCTGAATATGCTGTATTTCTGCACAATAAACATTTATTATTATTATTATCAATCTTGAAAACAGTTGTGCTGCTTAATATTTTTGTGGAAACAAGATTTTTTCAAGATTCTATGAAAAGAGGTAGAAAATAAAGAGAAGATATTTCAGAACCAAATTTAATTGAAATGGAATTTTGATGTTTAAGTTTTTAGTTTTTTTTTTGTCAGGAGTGAAGATTGTGTTCAGGGTGGGTCTGGTGCTCCTCAAGCAGATGTTGGGGTCTGTGGATAAGCTCCGTGAGCTGCAGGGCATGTATGAGACCATGGAGCGACTGAGAAACATTCCTCCTGAGAATATCATGGAGGAAGTTTTGGTGCAAGAGGTACGCACACAATTACGCTTTTATGAGAGAACACGCAATTCGACGTGCTGGTATTCGGTAATGCGATATATCACGGTAATGAATATGCACGATATTGTTATCGTGGGCACTTCAAAATACCGGGAATAATTATTTATTACAAATTATTCTGAATTTTGAATGCATTTTAAGAATACTTATCCTACCAACTGGTCACAATGCACAACACCGCTGTATGCTGCGTTAAAGATGCATGCGCTTTCTGATGTAAACAAGCACGGATGAGAAGCGCATGGCGGAGCTAGTGAGAGATGCTCTGGATGAAAGCACATTCACCCTCTGACAGCAGATGGCGCTGAACATAATGCAGCTGTTACACCGGAAAACCACGTAAACAAAGCAGCTGCACTACTTTCTGTTTCTGAAACATGTTTAAATTATTTAAACAGCATTCAGATTTGTGCATGCGCTATGGTGTTCATCACAGCGCCAAATACATAAATATTTAGATTTAATAGGCTATTTATTTTCAAACTTATTTACATTTTAATCTGGACTTTCAACATGCCCTAGATATTGTTTGAAAGTGTTTTGATTCTTTATTGTTCGGTCACACTTTACATTAGGGCTAGTTAATTCATTAGTTAACATACTGCCAATGAAAAATTCTTCTAAACATTTGTTATTCTTAGGTTATTCCAATATTTAAAGGGGTCATATGATGCTGCTAAAAAGAACATTATTTTGTGTATTTGGTGTAATGAAATGTTTATGCGGTTTAAGGTTCCAAAAACACATTATTTTCCACATACTGTACATTATTGTTTATCCTCTATGACACGCCTTTCTGAAACGAGTCGATTAAGTTTTGGTGCAAGAGGTACGCACACAATTACGCTTTTATGAGAGAACACGCAATTCGACGTGCTGGTATTCGGTAATGCGATATATCACGGTAATGAATATGCACGATATTGTTATCGTGGGCACTTCAAAATACCGGGAATAATTATTTATTACAAATTATTCTGAATTTTGAATGCATTTTAAGAATACTTATCCTACCAACTGGTCACAATGCACAACACCGCTGTATGCTGCGTTAAAGATGCATGCGCTTTCTGATGTAAACAAGCACGGATGAGAAGCGCATGGCGGAGCTAGTGAGAGTTGCTCTGGATGAAAGCACATTCACTCTCTGACAGCAGATGGCGCTGAACATAATGCAGCTGTTACACTGGAAAACCACGTAAACAAAGCAGCTGCACTACTTTCTGTTTCTGAAACATGTTTAAATGATTTAAACAGCATTCATATTTGTGCATGCGCTATGGTGTTCATCACAGCGCCAAATACATAAATATTTAGATTTAATAGGCTATTTATTTTCAAACTTATTTACATTTTAATCTGGACTTTCAACATGCCCTAGATATTGTTTGAAAGTGTTTTGATTCTTTATTGTTCGGTCACACTTTACATTAGGGCTAGTTAATTCATTAGTTAACATACTGCCAATGAAAAATTCTTCTAAACATTTGTTATTCTTAGGTTATTCCAATATTTAAAGGGGTCATATGATGCTGCTAAAAAGAACATTATTTTGTGTATTTGGTGTAATGAAATGTTTATGCGGTTTAAGGTTCCAAAAACACATTATTTTCCACATACTGTACATTATTGTTTCACACGCGTCCAGCGCGCAGATGCTCCAGCCGTCGCCTAAAGTTGTCTCTGAGCACATCACCCCCACAATCCCATCGCCCACCGCAAACAACGCCCCATTACCACCTTGCCCGGAAACCGCAAAAACGGCAGTGGAGGAAGATGGAAAAAAGAAAAAGAAAACCAAGGAGGACAAGAAGCGAGAGAAAGAGGAGGAGAAGCAAAAATCACAGGAGAAGAAAGAGAAGGAGAAAACCGATAAAGAAAGGATGAAGAAGAAGGAGAAAGCTGAGAAAGAGAAGAAAAAGGAGAAGGGGGGTAAGAAAAAAGACAAAGGGGGAGGAGGAGAGACTGAGGAGAAGAACGGAGCCACAGCAGCAAAAGATTTGGCCTAATTCCTGCCCCGTCATTCCTTCAGCAAGAATAAAAGCATGAGAATAGTGGAAAAAAGAGGACAAGGAATCAAAAAGGCTGATGACTGGTGAAAAGAGTGTGATAGAGAGAGCGAGAGAGAGCGAGAGCGAATCGCCTGGAATGTCCATTTCATCTCAAGTACTCATTTCACAAGGATAACTGGATCACTGCATCTGCCCCACGACCTTCATCATCTCGTCTGCACTGTCCTTTTACCCAATGTCAAAACAGGAAGTAGTTATTACTCTGCCTTTTGTTTTTGTTTTTTGAAGGTGGAGATATCTGATTGATGAGATCAGCTGTATAATTAGTAGTCAATTCTAGTATACTGGGTGCCATGGTGTACATAGACCTCTAGCGCCATCTGTGCCAGTCCAGCCCCACAACCCCCCTCTGTCCATCACCCGAGAGCTGTCTCAACCAGAATACCTGAATAAAACTGTTCTGTGATGAGGAAAGCGCAGCGGTGGCTAGTCATAACTTATCTGTGAGTGCTCTGGAGGACCTATTTATTCATTGTACTGTTGATTATTAGTGTGTGTTTGTGTGTTCTTGTATATCTGTGCCTTGGCAGTGTAGTGAATCGTGTCACAGTGTCGTGCTGCAGACCGGTCTCGTCTTTCTTCTCTCTTTTCAGTCTCTCAAAGGAGCTCGTCTTTACAGGTGCGCTCTCGTAAGAGGAACTGATAAGTGTTGGGGGGACTGGAGGAGCTAAATTGAACTGGGGGGAAAGGTACGTTCTCCTTTAAAACAGTGGAGAGAGCCACTTTTAACTGTCTATTTAAAATAAAAAAGGTTTGAATATCCAAGTTAACATAATTACTAAAAGGAAATTAAAACTCTTTATGATTAGTGTACCTGTCTATCTCTGCTCAAAGACTCTCAATCTGTCATTACATCAGACTCACCAAAAATTCCCTTTTGACGCCCAAGAGCTTATTTGATTTCTTCTTTTTCGAACAAATTGCATCACATAAACGTTAAAGTCTGCCAAGCGTGTCAGTCACTCCAGATATCTGTGTGGTTTGATGTTAATTATCTCGATGTTGATATGGATGTAGAGTTCAGACTAGAATTTTAATAAATTTATGCACTTGAGGCCTGTTGATTTTCACCACTAACCTTGATCGGTTTGTTAATGCAGGGCACTCTAATCCAGCTCACATGACTCCTGAAGTCTGCGCCTTGTTGTACGGGAAGGGTTTGGTGCAGCACTGTAGCATTAACCTTTGACCTTTGAAGCTCTTGGCTTCAGGCTGTAATGTTTTGATGTATAAACTATTAATTTAATCGGATGAAACCATATACTATCTATTACAGCTATTATTAGTCTCCTATTGGATTAGATTTTTTATTTTTCTATGCAAGTATGCAGAGGCCTGGTAGACTGGAATGGCAGTGAGCTTGGTTTTAGGAGAGCGATTTATTTAATCACAGGATTGATTTTTATTTTATTTTTTAAGCGCTGAAAATTATTTTTGCACATCATCACCCAACATCCCGGAGAACAAAAACAAGCAGTTATTTATTTTAGACATTTTATAATCACTAGTTTATCTAATATTACGGCAGTATTTGTGTTATGAGAGATAGTGATTTCATACTGATTATTATTTCATTCTGATGTTTTTTTTTTTTTATAATATTATTATTATTATGTGTCCCAACGAAGGGGGAAGTGATCCCAAAGAGTTGTGAGAGAAAAGGAATGGATCAATAAAATGTGTGCTAGACATTTATGTATTAATTAAACATGTAAAATATCATTCTTAACAAGACCTTCACCCAAACAGTGTTACTCTTGATGTGAAGTGAACACTGGCGAATTGAACTCCACCGTAATCCACTGACCCCTCAGTATTATGAATTATTCTGATACATTCACCAGGTGACTGGACCATACTTACTAGACTCCTACTCAATATATAATATTTTCTGTCAAGACAGAAGAGACCTGAAGCGGTTTCTAGGTTGCAATATGGTAGCCAAATACTCTGTCAATGTTTTAATGGTGTCCCCTGTGTTTCCTGGACTTGTTCAGTCTCAACTGCAGGGGGTCAAACCTCCGCCTCACCTGTCAGTGGTGCCCTCACTGACCTCAGTGGTCGTTGCTTCCTCTAAAGGCACTACTATTCAAATGGAAAGCAAGCAAATTATGTCTATGCAAATTTTATGTTCCTAACTCTCTGCACAATGTAGATGTTGACATTTATGGTGTGGCCACCAGGGGGCTCAAACTACCTTCACTGCTCACAGCAGCACTGGAACTGTTGAAGGAAAGGTGGAGTGGATGTCTTATTATCCTGAAGAACTGCTCTAAGTTCCAAGCACTAGCCTAAACCTGGTTTTGCACCTGTCAGGCCACCTTCGCTAACACCATCTTGTCTGTATTGCCAACCAAGTGCATGACCGGTGGACTTAAAATGGTTTGGACGCTGTGCTCACCAATAATTAATGCAAGACCATCCAGTGTTGGTTTAATAACACTCTTGAGACAGCTGGGACTGGCTGTAAAGTAGTTTGATTTGTCTTATGGATTTCTGCATTGCTAAATGACCCAATGTATGTTGTAAAATTGATCTTAAATCATTTGAATTTTAATGTGTTTAGGTTAGTTTTCTCATCTTGTCCTTTGTATGTCTCATGCTTGTTTTTTATGTTTACATGAAACCATTTACAGTTGAGGATGAAATAAATTCATAGATGAAGACAGTTGTTCTAAAACTGCAGAAGAGGGAAGTTCACAGTGTAGTTAATAATTACAGTTGTGATGAATAATAAATCATAATATATTAAAATCTCTCTCAAGAGTGGGTTTCTTTTTGTTAATGTAATTAACAGAATTTTTTACGTGTCATGGAACTATCGTGATACAGTAAATTAACTTTAGCCACCTTTCCACAAAATTGTGATGTTTTGGGTCTATGTGATTCATGAGTCATGTGCTTGGATATCCAAATGTATTTATTTTTGTTTCCTCAGTTAACTAGGGGTGTTAAATGAAACGTTTATTAAAATTCCGTATGAATGCGCCTTACGTGGAAATGAGCCTAAACTTGCTCTCATCGCACTGACTTCAGAAGCGCGCGCCCATACAAAAAAGAATGACGCGAATTCTTGAGGTAAGTCCTATTATCTCTTGATAAATTCTAGTTTACTTTTGGAAACATGATATTCTATCATCATTTAAAACTCGTATTTTTTTCTTTTTCTATGTAACGAGGAGATTTATAGAAGAATGTCGATGAAGTGTTTGTTTCGGCCAAATGAAGGTAAGCAATAAACCCTGACAGGTGGTCTTGTATGACCTTGCTTTATTTTGCTATGTTGTCTGTTTGATTGTGCATCACAACACGAAACCAATAAATAAATATACTAGATAGCGTAATGGAGCAAATAAATTTTTGGTTTTAGACCTTTAATATCTACATCAACTTGACGTTTAGTTTGGGCTTTTATAAATAGTTAATAAATGTATAAAAACCATTGTATTGGATTAAATGTTAAATCAGAAATGCAGTTTTAAACAAGCCTCTTTTTTTGGTCAAATTTGAACATTTTTCTCTATTAATAGTTAGAAGACGAGCAATTAATGTTGAAAATATTAAAAACCTTTTGGACTGATGTGGAAGCAATTGTGACGGAGCAGATATGCTATTATTGCAGTTGTAATACTATCATTGTCCAGCAGATAGCATGTTCTCAGTATGTTCTCATATACTGCTGGTCACCCTTGTGATTTACTGCATCATAGACCTGCAGTCTTATGTAATCTAATTTATATTACCATCTCAATGCTCTGTAATTACAGAAGAGACAGTTTCATCCCGCCTATCACACACAGCCAGCAGACACAGCATTACAAAAAGATGTTTTATTCACAGTTTCTGTCTTTTTATTGGTTACAGAAGAGTTTCTGACAGAGCAAAGCAGGCCCAGATCCAGAGAGCAAAAGGGTAGATTAAAAAAAAACATGGACCGTGAAGTAGTGAGGAGGAGGGGAGAGAGGGAGTGAAGAGGATATGTTTTCTTTCAGTCCCCGCTCTCCTCTCTTCCTTGGATGGTCTGTCTCTCTCACTCCCTCCAAGCTTGGCAACACTTTTAGGAGGCCAAGCTCTCTCGGTACAAAACCCTCATTTTCTCTTTCTTTTTTAGTCAACTATCAGGGGAAAGAACAAGAATGATGACTGGTTCCTCTATTATAGAGTGAGATCAATCCCTCTTGCCTCTTTTTCCCTTAGAATGAGCACTCTTCCACATTTATCTAGAGAGAGATTTCAGCCAAAAGCTATAGATGCCTTCAACCCTCAAGACAGCAGCAGAAGATGCAGCAACTTTCATGCATGAGAGGTGGTCGTGGGTAATGAGTGAGAAACAGAGAGAAAGAGAGAGTGTGAGAGATACAGAAATTATGTTCATTTTATTGAAAACAATCCCATAACCCCACTTGACAGACACCGTGGTCATGAGCCTCTCCACCCTCCCAATTCAGCCTCAGCGAGACAAATCTTTGGAGAGATGGCGAGAGTAAGTGCTAGAGAGTAACAAAGATGATGGAAAGGAAGAAAGGGAGGAAGAAGCACAAAGTAAGAGAAGGAGGACAGAGAACAGACTGGGAGAGTTTAGCAGTGAGGGATGCACGTTCATCTCTTCCTTTTCTGTCTTGTCTCCACGACCGTTTACTCCTCCTTCTCCTCTCCGTGTGTGATGACGTAGCAGATGTTCTTGTAGTCAACATTGCCAGCAACATCTGGGGGGAAGGCGGCCCACAGATTCTTCATCTAATGGATGAAGAACAAAGAATTTGGATTAAATAAACATTAAAAAATTTACATTTACACATCTAATCCAGAAAAATATATTAAAGGTGCAATGAAACAGAAATAGCGACAGATCTTTTTTTTTAATGCATTGTGACGTACATCCAAATGAAATGGAAAATTGAAGAAGAACAAAAAAAGTAGGGCGGGACTTAATTCTGTTCATCGGTTGTTGATTGGATGGAAGCAGATCTGAATGCGAGCTTGAGGTTGATTGTAAGAAAGGGGCAGAGTTTAAATGGACTAAATGATTGGAAAAGTCTGTAATTTCACTGTAAGGTCGAGTTATGACATTTTGATAAAAAATTACGAGCTCAAAAAAAAAAAGTGAAACTTATGCATGGATGAATCGTTCACAAAAAGATTAATAACATGTATTTAGAAAGTAGATCTCATGCTGATTTAAAACTATGAAGAGTAAGATCTGATCTCACCTCCTCTGCAGAGAACCTGTCGCACTGAGTGGTCAGAAGCTCCTCAAGGCTGGAAAGAGAGAGAACGAATATCAGTCAGACATGGAAACATTGATTTTTTTTGGCACATTGAAATAAAGAGTGAGTTAATAGGCTTACAATTGCTTCTTGATTAAGCCGGTGGCCTCTGGGTCCAGCACCTTGAAGGCAGACACAATGACGTCTTCGGGGTCAGCACCTTTCAGAGACACGGAGAGTGAGTTACACTGACTGAATACAACAATGATTGGAAAACCAAAGGGAAAACAGCCAGTAAAAGGGACTTTTGCATACCCTTCAGCTTCTCTCCGAACATAGTGAGGAAAACGGTGAAGTTTATTGGGCCGCTGGCTTCCTTGATCATGGCCTCTAGCTCCTCATTCTTCACGTTCAGCTGGCCTACAGAGAGACAGTGATGGTCAGCACACATTCATGGATATATTTACAAAGGACACAAGTGACACAAGACACAACTCACCCATTGAGGCCAACACGTCCCTAAGGTCGTCTTTGCTGATGATGCCGTCTCTGTTCTGGTCAATGATTGTGAAAGCCTATGCATGCAAGACAGAAAAAAGCACATTGTTACAGGAGTTGGTGGAAAATGAGGCTGCTCACAGCTGCAAACCAATGACTAAAGAGTTGATTTAACAAGAAATCTTCCCCTTGTAGCTTTTTCTCTTCCCTGGCAGTAGTAAAACGTCCTTCTCAGTCACATGAAACTCAAGAAGGGGCTTGAATAGCAGCAGCTGCTAACTCCCACCTGTCCCCCACAGAGACCCTCGCTGATCCTCCTTTCCATCTGGGAGACGTGTTAAGTCAATCCCAAATGTCAGGCATT